CCGGTCCCGGTTTGGGCCGAGGCTCGCTGCCGCCCTCCGGTTACAGGCGCCGCCTTGGCGTTACTGAGAAGTCCGTTTTCTCTAGTTTTCGCAATCAAGCCAAATTTGCTTCGGCAGGAAGTTCAAATGTCACCTAATTGCTTTCATTCTGATGCTGTATTTTCCTCCGAAGCGGTGGTCCAGGAAAACCAGCCCCTCAAGATTTGCTTTTTTATCCCTTCCACCTTCTTTCTGTTTCTCCGCCTCGAAACTGTGTCCCGTCTCCCAGCCGCTTGCCACTTTTTGCCGCAAAGAAAGGGACATTTTTTTTTTCCCATTTCGGTCTCTGCCAGTGAACTAAGAGTGAAAGTGGTTAAAACAACAGTCTAAAATAACCTTCGCCTGCAGCTATCTCCGTATCCTACCCTTCCTTCCCAATTAGCGGCGCGGGGGGGTGGTGGGTGTGGGAGGCCGTGATTTCTGTTTTCATTGCGTTTTTAAAGGCAATAATCCGGTTACAGCAGCATTCAAATGCAAATGAATCCTTTAGGCACTGCAGAATGATTTTCTTTTTCTTTTCTCAAGAAAGAGGTATTTTTTTTTTTTCAAATGATAGTGAGTTTTGTTTGTATTCTTACACGCACAAATATAAAAGTTTTGTGCTTCTTCACTCACTACTTCACGGTATAAACTTCACCCTCAGACCACCCTAGCACAAACAATGTATTTCCGAGTCGACATTAACAAATACACGCCTAGCAATCCCCACTCTGTGCTGGGGAGAGGTAGTGTTGGGAATGAGAACATTGCAATCATATGAGAAATGAAGGGTGGTGATTTTTTTTTTTTTTTTAAGTGAGTTCCTCTTTTATTAACACCACATTGGCAGGCAGGCCTCTGACGGTACTGCCGGGTGCTTCGGTATCTGCCTCGTCTCTCTCAAACCTCGGAGCTGCACACATCTTTCACATCTTTCTGCAGTGTAAAATCTCCCTCCTTCACTTCCCAGCAGAGAGCCGGGGCTGCTGAGCGGCCGGTGCCGCAGATGGGGGCTGCTCGCCCTTGATTTATAGCATAAACTGACCTTGCTGACACGGAAAGGAAGCCCCTATTCATGGGAAAGTGTGAGATCAGCAGAAAAGGGCGCTCACCGAGAGAGCTCAATTTCTTAAGACAACTTCAGATTTTT